TAAAATTAATAATATACTATAAAAGTTATTTAAGTTGTATATATTGCAAACAAATATATTAGAACAAGTAGTCATTGTTATATTTAATAAGACTCCTTGCTTTTTCATTAAGAGATTCAATTTTCATTATTATTTTTGTGATTTATGGTCCCTTAAAAAAATTATAAAAAAAAAGTGGTTAAACCGGTTTGACCCATCGGTTCACCGGTTGAACCGGAAAATTGATCGGTTCAATCCGGTTTGAAACGGGTCGACTGCATAACCGATCCAACTTCAGATTCGGACCGGCTAGACCACCGGTTCCCGGTCCAACAGGTCCGACCGGCCGAGTCGGTCCGGGTTTTAAAACACTGGTCGAAATTGTATTATATTAAGTCTCCTTGAATAAGGTTTCAAGTTCAAATTTTATAAATAAAAAAAAAATGTCACTAGAAAGAAAGACCACTAAAGATAACTTATTAGATTTTCCGACATAGATAAATCATTGTCAAAGTCAATGAATGTTCTTTTATACTTTTATTGATGTTATGGTTTAACTATCTTAATAAATGTTTTTACTCTCTCTCTCTCACACACACACACATATATATATATATAGATTTTGTTGCTAATTTGCATGAAAATGCTGGATTACTTGCAGAGAATATGGAAAGCACTCAAAGTAGTGTTTGATTTTGATTTATTTGCTTATTAATTAATGTGTTTTTTTTTTCCTTTTTCATTAATTAATGCATGTTTGTTTTGCTTCCTTGTTTAGGATTGGATTTAATTGCACGTAATGGAGGTTTAAAGCCGCGCAGAACTCGGTGTTGTTGGTGTTTTGGTGGTAGTGGTAGTGGTATTTGGAATTTGAGGATTGAGTGGGGGCTTGGAAAATGGCTGCCAAGAGTGAACACCACCAAACTGTTCCCCTTTTGTACCGTTATGTACTCAAAATTGGACCAGGATGTAAAAAGACAACTATCTGGATACTCAATTAACAGATATGTAGTCCATATCTTTTCTTAAAGAAACTGGTAATCTAAATCTAAATGTCTGTACAAAACTTCTAATACTAAATAAATATACATATTCTGCATGTTATAAATAAATTATGCTTATGACATTTTTCAAAATAACCCGATTCTGTTAACAGGGTTCATGCTAGTATGTTTTCCTTCTAAATCTACTAATAGAGTTTGTTTGGATACTGGTTTTTAAAGGATTTTGAGAACTTCTCTACTTGAAAATGCTCTTTATTTTTAGTAGAAAAACTCTCAAAAGTTCTTTAAGCTTGTATCTCAACACACTCATAGTCTTATTGATTGCGTTGTACAATAAAGCACTTATTATTTTCAGGTAGCATAGGTCCAAAGCCTGACCTTTTACTGGTTTATGGACCTGTGAGGAGCCATCTTGGTTTTCCTGCATGGAGAGTTCCTTACACAGAGATCATGTAAGTTCTTTCTAGGAAAGTACTATTATTTATGATTAGATTAGTGCAGTAATCAAATGTTTGTTTATTGACATGAAGTGAAGCTATGCTTGTTTATAGAAGCTAAAAGCAGTAGCT